GCCCGCCCGCCCGCTCACATGATAACATAATACGTCCCCGTCTTCGACGGGCGTATAACAACAGAAATTTGGGACACATAAAAAACCAACAAGCCATCGCGACCTCTAACAGATTAAACATACGCTGTAACACATGTGACACCAATCATGATGTCTCCTGTCAAATGTAGTTCTAAAGTATCTCGATCATCGACAATCTGAGTAAATATTTCAGTAAACAAGCCAGGACATAGTCAGAAGTCATTTTTGAAAAGACAACAAGAACTGAGGAGACTACAAACAATAAAAACAAACATCCTGAACCCCCAGAGAACTATCGAAGACAAACCACTGTGCCCCGGAAGGGTAAGCGTTCCTGCACCGCATGTAGTACTCAGTATTAAGTCTTTCTAGTCTCTGGGAAATAAAGTCAATATATTTTCAATAAATTCAATTAATCTTTAAGATCGAAATCGTGTCATAGTCAATTTCTTACACACAAAAAGAAAATAATCCAAGTAGAACATGTTATGGTTTGTATTGGTCAATACAGACATTGACATCTAAAACGTCCTGATGTTTAGAACAGGAACCTCTGGAGAAGCAAATCAACTACAATATAACTTGGGGAATAGTATATTAATTTTCACAAATATGCACATTTTTGAGAATCCATATCAGCTATGTTAATGTATAGTTATTGAACATGATTTTCAGTAATATATCACACTTACCTCTTAATGCCTTGTTCAGGTTTATCTCGATGGCAATGTCACAGTAAGAAGGAAACCCTGCCAACACAAGTCAAAACGCTAAACTATCCCAGCAAAGGGGGAGAACTCTGGCATACTTGATTCACCCCATTAAACGGGTAAAACCAATTGTAATTTGTTAAGTTAAATCAATCATGATAATAAAAGAAAATGCTCTAAGTAAATGAGTTTAAATGATAACTTAGGAACAAAAATGTATAGTTCGATTGAACCAATATGGTTTAAACAAATTTCACAGCTTTTAACTTACCACTTGTCTGTCCACTTTCTCCTTGAGCAAAATGAATGTGATCCCTTCTTTTTCTTGACAAACCCTGCAAGTTTAATAAAACACATGGTGTTGAAAACCCCTGCAACATGGAAAAGAACAGAACAAAATCTTACCAGCTGATGAGCTTATTAAAATATTAATTTAATTTCGTGATCCTTTCACATTATACCTGAATTTGATGACCCCGGTCATTAGTTAAAAATGGCATTTATTTAAATATCTTCAGATTTCTACATCTACCGTATTAAACTGAGGTAAAATTGTTTTAATTTTATATATAAAAAAAATACATGAAATCAAATAAGAAATATCTTAATTCAGTAACATTTTGTCTATCACTAAAGCTGAACAATTCTAATAGTTCTCTAACTTCATAGGGACAACACTGTTGTGGGCTAAGTGTTCAGCCATGTGTTTTGAAATAAAGCCAATGAACAAAATGGTTGCCAACACAAATAAAATGACAGATGTAAGGCCTTTAATAACAGTATACAGTATTATATACTGCTTAACACAGGGGCATGGATCGCTTTACTTGTAATATCAAAAAATTAAATGGTATCTTTTAGTAGAGGAGACCACTATTTTTTAATATTACAAGTAAAGCGATCCATGCCCCTGTGCTGCTTACCATAGCATTAAGGTACATGTTCAAATAATTTAGAATTTAGCAGATTAAATCTCTAATTTTATATAAGTACTAATAATAGAAAAATAAATATATGGTTTCATGTAATTTTAAGTAGCTAAACTTACAAATACGAAATCTCTGATTTTATTTAAGTAATATGTAAAAATATAAAAATATCTCTGTTTTCTTCTTCATAATTTAGAGATTACCGGTAAATGATAATACATCTCTGTATAATATTTTTAGATTAGATAATACATCTCTGATTTATATAATTTTTAGATTGGATAATACATCTCTGATTTATATAATTTGTAGATAAGATAATAACATATCTCTGTATATAATTTGTAGATTAAATAATTATATATCTCTAATTTAAATCATTTGTAGATTAAATAATGACATATTTATGTTTTTAGCTAAGAAATAGGTTAAATATTATATATATATAACAGCTTTAATTTTATATTATAAGTATATATATATATGAACATTAAATAATATCACTGATTTTATATTATATGTACATTAAATAATATCACTGATTTTATATCATAAGTCAGGATTCAATTTAAAAATAAATATCATGTCTCCGATTTTTTGTTTGCAAGTAGTAGATTAAATAATATATTACCTCTGATTTAGAACATACTTCATACTTTGAGATTTATGATATAGCTATTGATTATACATATCAATTAGCTCAAGCTGAAGTTACTGATCAACAGTCAGAATCCATTTCCTCCTCAGTACTAGCAGTGTTTTACACAGACATCGTAAACACCTAACAGTCATTATTACTATGTGTCACAATGAGTGAAGATCTTATTTGCTAAACATTTAAAAAATATAATTGTATCATTTACTGAAATGCTTCATCAGATATATTTTTTCATTTACATTTTTACATACTCTGGATCGTTCTTTTTCCAATAATGTCTTTCGATTGAGTGAGTATTACTTAACAGCCTCATGAAGGAGATTGTGAAAGCTTGTTTATATATATATATATATATAAGATGGTATACAAATATTGAACTCCCTCCACTGTATCTATGTGTCGGTCTGTCTAAGGTCATCTCAGCAGACAATATATGACTGCATCGCACACCAGTATTAGGGGAGTTACACACCAAACACCCAAACAAACAGGAAGACATCCTTGGCAGAATGTGTGTCACGAGACATACAATTACCGTAAATACCACAGTAGCAGTATATGTTCTTGTGTAATCTAGCAATACAATGTACCTGCTTATATCCAATTACAATTTAAAATACAGCAATCAACTATTCTTAATTCTGTATTAAGGTCTCCACAATTAACACGAAAGTGAGGTTGATGACAGGGTGAGCATCAGAACACTTATTCCGTCTTTTCGTATTGCAGAGTTATCTGCTATTGTGAGCAGGTATTGATTGTTACGTCATTTGTTTGTGAGAGTAACGTCATCAATATTTGAGAAAACGACGTAATTTTCTCACACAAACCAATGATGTAACAATCAATACCTGCTCACAAGAGAAGCTAACTCTGCAATATGCAAAGACGGAATAGCAAACCCGGCCAGATCCTTGATGATTGGTGCCATACCAATGAATGCCTACATGACCCTCCCAATAGTGTCATCCTCTATACATAGGTATTCAGTATATGCAAGTTTCCTTTACATAGAGATGTCCTATTTAACAAGTGCCTTTTACCTACAGATATCATCAGTACAAATGTTCTTTTACACATGGTCCTCCAAACGGAGTCCACTATACAGGAGATCAAATGTATACAAGTATCTTTCTAAACAAAGTGTCCTCTGTACACAAGCATCTTTTGCATACAGGTGCCCTCTATAATAAGGTTTTACAGGTATCCACTGTACAGAGGTATCTTTTACATACAGATATCCTCATAACAGGTATTTTATCTTCTATACACCGGTGTCCTCTGTACACAGATATATTTATACACCGGAGTCCTCTGTACACAGATATATGTATACACAGGTGTCCTCTGTACACAGATATATTTATACACAGGTGTCCTCTGTACACAGATATATTTATACACAGGTGTCCACTGTACACAGATATATTTATACACAGGTGTCCACTGTACACAGATATATTTATACACAGGTGTCAACTGTACACATGATATATTTATACACAGGTGTCCTCTGCACACAGATATATTTATACACAGGTGTCCTCTGTACACAGATATATTTATACACAGGTGTCAACTGTACACATGATATATTTATACACAGGTGTCCTCTGCACACAGATATATTTATACACAGGTTTCCTCTGTACACAAGATATATTTATACACAGGGGTCCACTGTACACAGATATATTTATACACAGGTGTCCACTGTACACAAGATATATTTATACACAGGTGTCCTCTGTACACAAGATATATTTATACACAGGTGTCCACTGTACACAGATATATTTATACACAGGTGTCCACTGTACACAGATATATTTATACACAGGTGTCCACTGTATACAGATATATTTATACACAGTTGTCCTCTGTACACAGATATATTTATACACAGGTGTCCACTGTACACAGGTATATTTATACATGGGTGTCCACTATACACAGGTATATTTATACACAGGTGTCCTCTGTACACAAGATGTATTTATACACAGGTGTCCACTGTATACAGATATATTTATACATGGGTGTCCACTGTACACAGGTATATTTATACATGGGTGTCCACTATACACAGGTATATTTATACACAGGTGTCCTCTGTACACAGATATATTTATACACAGGTATCCACTGTACACAAGATATATTTATACACAGGTATCCACTGTACACAGATATATTTATACACATGTATCCACTGTACACAGATATATTTATATACCGGTGTCCTCTGTATACAGATATATTTATACACAGGTGTCCACTGTACACAGATATATTTATACACAGGTATCCACTGTACACAGATATATTTATACACCGGTGTCCTCTGTACACAGATATATTTATACACAGGTGTCCACTGTACACAGATATATTTATACACAGGTTTCCACTGTACACAGGTATATTTATACACAGGTGTCCTCTTTACTCAGATATATTTATACACAGGTGTCCACTGTACACAGGTATATTTATACACGGGTGTCCTCTGTACACAGATATATTTATACACAGGTGTCCTCTGTACACAAGATATATTTATACACAGGTGTCCTCTGTACACAAGATATATTTATACACAGGTGTCCACTGTACACAGATATATTTATACACCGGTGTCCTCTGTACACAGATATATTTATACACAGGCGTCCACTGTACACAGATATATTTATACACAGGTGTCCTCTTTACACAGATATATTTATACACAGGTGTCCTCTGTACACAAGATATATTTATACACAGGTGTCCACTGTACACAGGTATATTTATACATGTGTGTCCACTGTACACAGATATATTTATACATGCGTGTCCACTGTACACAGATATATTTATACACAGGTTTCCACTGTACACAGGTATATTTATACATGGGTGTCCACTGTACACAGATATATATATATATATATACAGGTGTCCTCTGCACGCAGATATATTTATATACAGGTGTCCACTGTACACAGATATATTTATACACGGGTGTCCACTGTACACAGATATATTTATACATGAGTGTCCACTGTACACAGATATATATATATATATATATACAGGTGTCCTCTGTACGCAGATATATTTATATACAGGTGTCCTCTGTACACAGATATATTTATATACAGGTGTCCACTGTACACAGATATATTTATACATGTGTGTCTACTGTACACAGATATATTTATACATGGGTGTCCACTGTACACAGATATATATATATATATATATACAGGTGTCCTCTGTACGCAGATATATTTATATACAGGTGTCCACTGTACACAGGTATATTCTGTATGCATGTGTCTTCTGTACAAAAGAATCTTGTATGCACAGGTATCCTCTGTACACAGGTATCTTGTATGCACAGGTATCCTCTGTACACAGGTATCTTGTATACACAGGATATCCTTAAGGACACAAACAATAGTGTTGAATCAGCATTACAAGGAGATGGGGCTTTATTACACTAGCAATGGTAGATCATGCATTTTGTACACACCCTTCATTATATATAGACTCTAAAAAGGCAGTATGACTGAAGTCAATTCACCCACCTGAACATGTTAGTGTATGTTTTAGTGTGATAGTGATCATAAGTAACTAAGTCTACACACAACCTACATATAACAGGTATACACCAGGAATTTAAGCATGCAGCCTGAGGTCAACAACAATCACTTCCAGAAGGATATAAAGGAACAGCTTCATTTACCTAACAAACTTGTTAGTCGACTGAAAATATCACGACAAAGAAGTCGGTCCAGCTCTGATCTGGAGGTCACTCAACAGTTACTGGTACCGAAGCCAGTGTCGGTGAGTAAACTATCAAGTCTGTGTGTTACATTACAAATGGCATCATTGAGTTTACACTGCCAATTCTGTGTGTTACATGTTAGTTTCAGTGTCATGAAGTCTGTTTGACATAAATGAACATGTTCCTTTAGCAAAACTGGTCTGGGTTGATCTTCTGCAACCAGGGCGCTCAATTGGTAGAGCATCCATCCAGAGTTTGAAAGGTCCTGGGTTCAAACCCTGGTCCGGCTTGCATTTTTTCTTCTCCTGTTTCAGTGGTGCCTGTGACCAACCCTTGTTTCAAGAATCTGGGTTGTAAATATAGTTGTGTCTTTGGGGCCAAGATTAAGAAAAAGGCGGAAGAAATGTAGCAGAACTGGACAGAGTCTATTGTCGGTGAACAAGTAACTCAAGTGGCAGGACATCTGTCTTGAGTTTGGAGGGTCCCGGGTTAGAATCCTGGGCTGGCCGTGCATTTTTCTATCTCCTGTTACACTCCTATGCATTATTTTTAACTGTTCATTGTATTTGTGATATTGGCATTGACCATGGAACCTGGAATAAGATCTCCTTGAAGCTATTCTGATACTTGAACTTTGCTTTAATTTTGATTGAATCTGTCAAGAAATTAATGAATGTCGTCACTGAATTGGTTGACAAATTTCTATAAATAGCACTGGTGACCTTGGCTTTGAACATTGAAATACAAAGACAATGAAGGGATTCTCTTGGAGCTTGAGCTTTGTATGTAGATTGATAGCAATCTGTTAAGAACTGAAACCACAACAGCAAATACACTGTATTGGGACAAGATTGATGGACGTGGGCAACACATTTCTATGTCATTCCCTATGTAACAGAAGTAATTATCTTTTCAATGCCTTTGTTAGGAGTCGAACCCAGGACCTCTGCTTTACTTCCCTTCATTATGCTCAACTGAAAAAAAAGGGAAAAAAAGCTCCCTAACCAAGTTGGTAGGAAGTGGCTATTTATTTTACTACAGTAATATCCATAAAATGGCAAGGGCAAACAAATCAAGAACTGTTTTTTGCGAATTTTGTATATGGTGCAGTTTGCATGATGCTTTAAATACAGAAAGTGACATCAGATCAATGTAAGTCAAATACTAACTCAAGATCCCCTACACATCTATGTGCATGTATGTGTCACTTCCTGTATCTCAAGGAACAAAATGTCTGGACAGTGCTCTTTGAACTTAAAAAGACCAAATAATAGCTATTTCAGTACACATTAGGGTAATAACTCTGTAGATTATAATTGAATCACTATATATGCAAAACTAAATATGACCGTGGAAACCTTTCAATGATTCAAGGCAATTATTCTTACCGTTGTTTTGATAGATTCCCAATTATGGCTGCGAGAACCATGCAGGACAACGCGGGCATCACTTGCATGGGTAATGGGTGTAAGGTCCTCATCTGATAACTGCAAACAACAAATCAAACCTTATTTGAACAATTTGGCTGATAATATCTGTATATACTGGTATATAATAATTGTAGAGGATACATATAAGCCTATTAAGCACATACATGTACACATCCTTCATTCCCTAAACTTTATGTATACTTGACGATGCCTATGTAGCAGAACTGGACTTTGTTGATCAACAGTGACCAGGTACCTCAATTGGTAGAGTCTAGAGTTTGGAGGGTCCAGTGTTCAAATCCCAGCCTGTCTGTGCTTTTCTATTTCTCCTGTTACACTGGTCTATAAAGCTCGAACTAAATATTTAAATGTCAGTTAATAGAAAGAATATTTCATTGATTAATACCAACTGTTTAGTTTTATTAGCTGACTTTGGTCAAACTCTATAATAAAGTCTGAACTCTGGTACATCACAATTCTGAAATAACTTAAAATCTCCTTTTAACATTTTTTGATGGGGCAGAGATTTTAAAAAGGGGATAGTCAGTTATTTTGGACAAAAACATTCATAGTTCAAGGATAATTTAGTATTCCTAAGTGTTTTTATGAGAGACTGTGGGTGTATTTCTACACAATAATTACCTGCATGGAGTGTCCTTGTGTTGCCTTTATTTGTGGGTGTATTTCTACATAATAATTACCTGCATGGAGTGTCCTTGTGTTGCCTTTATTTGTAATTTATTGAATATGCTAGTTTTCACTTTGAATCTTCCTTTTCTATCTCTCTCTACAATTTTGCGTACATCGTCTTCTGTGGAATTGTTGGCTTCAGGTAGTTCTAAAATGGCTTCCACCTCGACATATCCGTCTGCAAAATTAAAACATAAAATGTTTGTTTATGATTTGAAAAAAAAAGTATTGAGAGCAAATTAAACCTATATTGATCAGGTGACAACTGATTTGTAAATTAGAATTACATGTATAATCTCTTTGGACTAAAAATATAGAGGAAGTGATGCTGTAGATGATACACCATATCCCATATACCCTCCTGCTATAGATTATTTCTCTGATAATGTTGCGCTGAAAAAAATGATCACATAACCTTGTTACATATTTAGTGACATTTTACTCACCGGTTGAGACTTCAAGACCTCTTTGACGAGCATCATGACGAAGTAACTTTGCTAGAAAACGAGAGAGACGATCAGACATATTCAGAGAAGAAAAGCATCCAACGTATAATTCTAGAAAAATGGCATTGCCTTCAAATAGGCTACGTGTACTAGCAGCATTGTTTTTCCTTGAATAGATCTAGGTCAAAGCGAAAGCGAAAGTAAACTTCAACAACATTGACATATATTTATTAACGAAGCATTCGAATATACGCCATGATCGTAAAAAGTACCACACATTAGTTTATTTACCAAATATATCACCACTTTTAAAGATGATATTAGTGTCGCAGCAGAAGCCGACTTCTATTGGAGCTCTCTATTGTTGGAAGATACGAAAAGTGTATCCACGTCAATTTTCATAATTTTTCGCCATTGTTGGAAAGCCTTTTACTACATGTTTTACTGTTTCCAGCGGAACTTTCAATTTTTTAAAATACTACACAGTATCTAAATCTTCATGGATTGAAATGAAATCATAACAAAGGTGAGAATGTTTAACGATTGCATGCATATTTTGAACAGAGTAATGAAAGCGAAATTCGATACTTCGTCTGCATCTTCATCATTGACAGCAAAATGTCTAACAAATGATGATTCATGCTTCTGAATCACTTAACGATACAGAATAATACATTCTGGCTTATGGAATTGAATACTTCTAATATAAAATCCTAAATTCCATTCAGCAAATTAATCACAACCCCTCATACGACTTATATTAATAATCCTGCCTTAAGCTTGGGGCTATATATATTTACTGTCAGTACAGTAACAATTTCATTACTAAAATGGGGAACAAAGTAATATAAATGAGAAAAAAACCCATAGAAAATACTTTAAAACATAAGGAATAAGAAAAAGTGTTACTCTTTCAACATAATCCAATAAATAAGACAATGCAGTTGCATTTAATTTGTGCACTAAAGAATATCAATTCTGAAAGTCTAACATGAGTGCAGGCAAATTTGCGATGCACCCAAATTCGCCACCCTGTGACGAAAATGCCATATGATGTCATAATACATGGATGTGAGGTAAATAATGTCACAATATTTTTCAACACAGTTAAAGCCTTCAAATATTTTGACAAGAAGAAATATAAAAAGGGAAAAGTGATATAGGCCTATAATTAATTAAAACAGTTATAAAATATCTTGTAACACAACAAATCTTAAAAAACTTGGTCTGTGTGATGGACATCGCGTCAACTTGAAGTAATTAATCTGAGGCCTGATGGTTGTGATTTAGTGTAAATTTACGCATTATACATACAAATTGAAAATACTCATTAGATCTCGACGCTATTTGCAGTTCAAGTTATGGTCGACTGAGCCGTCAATGCAAATAAATTGTTTTTTCTACAAGTGTACTTTGGTACAATGTACTGACGATTCTATGCTTGTTTATGGAAATGACAATCGGAAAGATTTGATTTTCCATTTTCTATTTCCATGCAATTTGTATTTAGAATACAATGCAATTAACCAGTATCTTTTAAAAAGTATTGTTTGCGTCTAATGTTCAGCCATCTTACAACACCTCAATTAAAATACCATCTAGAAATTTTCTAGCTTGATATATATGAAAAGAATTTGTTGTCGGCCTGAAAGTACTGCTGTACAATCGCATGATTATTTCAATGTTTATCATTGTTACATACACACTTGGAGCTGTTTGTATCAGTACGACTTGTGTAACATAAGTATTCAAAATTTTACATTTATATAAGTGAAATGTTTGAAGGTCACAAAACTGCCTGCATCTTTGAGCAAAACCATGGAAGGCTTGATGACGTCACAATGGTTGCTGCGTGACGTCATTCATGCGTGTTTTCAACAATGATTATTTATAGGAATTTCAGTCAAATCTTTTTCTGTACTGGTGCTCGTCGTCATTTTGATACATGCGTTTTCGGACAAATTATTAACTGAAACCCATACTAATGTGATGAATTTGCCTACACTTATGTTATAAAATATTACCTAACATCACATTTATAATTCACTAGAACAGGTCAGTATATAAAATGACCTTATTATCTAGGAGTGACCAAAGGCAGAATCAAGTTTAGCAAGCACAAAATTAAAGTTATTAAAAAAATTGTGGATGCGATCGTTTGGATGTTCCATTGCATGAACAAGCTATATGTTTAAACCCTTTTGTTGATCGATCATGTTAGATTGATCATGCTAATTAAACATCAGATAGCTACAAAAAGGGTGTAAAATAAGACATGCAGCTAACTATATATATAGTACTGAACATCCAGATGGATAGATTAAATATCAAATTTCCCAAGTTCCTTTTTTCATCTAGATTGGCTATTCTTAAAAACATACTTGAGTATATATAGCCGCTGAAAATTGTCTAGCTTTTCCTATATTCTTCAATGTTTATATAACTTATATATAATACACATGTATATTAATTAAGTATGTTAACATGGATGCTAAGCCAACAACGTCAGTCATTTCTTATTTGGATTATTTCCCTTTACACTTCTGGCATATATATGCAGGGATGTACATACTCGGCTGATGTCTGGGGCTAATAAATCAATTTTGTATTGGTCAGATTTGTCGAACTTTCAAAAATATGCTTGCAATAAATCTGGATATGTGAACTTGTCTTTATATAAATCTAAAATTACATATTACAAATATGAAATGGTACAGTACACTCAGATCCTGCACCTCAATATTTGCTTGCTGAAGTAATTTTGAAATTTATAACTATACATAAATTTGTCATGTCATAGAATATTATCAAGTTTTGCATACATGTCCTTTAAAAAAAAATATTATTCAGCTGTCAAAAAGCAAGATTGCAATATTAATTAATTGATCTGAGGGATTGCTTAATAATTATGCTAAAGTGCAATAATTGCTTTGATGGTACATTGCAGCTACAAGTATCACATAGAAGGAAAGACAGAAAAATACATGCTCTATTATAAGAAGACCACAATCTCTCACTCTCTTACTTGCATTTATCTTTGTTATATAGTTTACAAATTAATTTGGAATCTAAATCAAATGTGCTCAATAGAGTGAACTTGTCTTAATAGTATAGGATTCTATGAAAGGGAGATAATTAAAAAAAAAAATGGTGAAACTTATCGGTATCAGGTAATATGTATTTGAATTCCTTTTTTTTACTTATACCAGTATATATGTGATAAAAGAGATAAAACTTATAAAAGATAAAAAAGATTGTGATCCAATATTTCTCATGAATCGAAATCTATTTTGAGTCTTTAAAATAGGAACTACAAAATGTAGTTTGATTGAGTATATGTATATTAATCCAATCTCGGGTATAGATGCTAAGCTAGAAGAACAACATACAATTACAGAAACAATATACAAAGAATAAACATACAGATTGGTTTGGATGAACTACTTCAAATCATGATTTATTAGCGCATTACATAATTATCAAACAGTAAAATAACAATAAATCAGTATCATTATTTTGTAGTTTAAACTTAAACTATGGTCCTCATACTACACTAGACAAAGTAACATAGAAACTACAAATACAAAATTGGGTAAGGGTGGGTGGGAATATGAAATGCCTGCCGCTGCCTCGACAGAGAATTCTAAAGTGAAATTAAGTGATGAGATGTTAGAGGACAGCATATGTTGGCCATGGGGGTTGTCCTCCATAGGGAGTAAACATTTCATTGGTCAGCTGCTGGCTCTTGTGCCCTGCTGACATATGACATCTATTGGTCAGTTTGACCAGTCATGTAACCAAATTGGGGTATGTAAATTGCTGACTTGAGGGTCTAAGGACCTATATGATTTATAGCTGAAACCTGATAACACAAAGAAAGCTGACCACTGTATCATATATTGGCCAGCTGGTAACCCATGTGTTGGATTACCTATATATAAAAGCTATAAACTTTATGCAAATAAAATTGCTTACCAATCAAAATATTATTAACATATTAATAACTTAATATTCTTATTAATCCAATCTTAGGTATAGATGCTAAGCTAGAAGAACAACATACAATTAAAGAAACAATATACAAAGAATACATGAACATACAGATTGGTTTGGATGAACTACTTCAGACCATGATTCATTAGCGCATTACATAATTATCAAACAGTAAAATAACAATAAATCAGTATCACTATTTTGTAGTTTAAACTTAAACTATGTTCATATACACACAACACCTGTAATGGTTAATTTAAATCACTTGCATGGTTTTTAATTAACATAGAATGACAGTGATTTATGGTTGATTACGATAAACCTCTTGCCTTATAAAATTTGAAAATTAACTAACTCAAGTTATAGAAATATGATAACCAATCACCGCTCATTGGGGAACATCTCTGTATAAACTGAAATATGTTATTGAAGCATCCAGAAAGATTCAGCTATCACAGTCAACACAGTCCTAGTAAGAGGTACAATTTGAAAATTCTTTTATTTAAAAATATGTTATTGTTGTTTATCTTCAACTAAGTGTTATAATCATTATTGATTTTGCAGTATAACTATAAGTTTGTGATTATGTCTTCATATTTCTAGCATGTATAAATGTTTCTAATTAAAGTATATTTTGAGATATACCCCTTCTTAGACCAGCTATCAAATATCAATAGCTTGAACAGATTCAAGAAGATTATAGATTCTAATTTAGAACTTATGCTATAAATATCTGAATATTATAACATGATCTTCATATCACGACAAGCCTCTAATTCTTTGAGGGTCAAAAGCCATTTTAGGAGGTCAATCATATACCCATATCTGTAGGTTTGTTTTAACGTTATGGTCCTCTACAGCTTGACACTTAGCTCTATAGTCTTGCCAGACAGACCTGTAGATTGTTGTTGATCCTCTACAGTTTTCTAGTTTAACTCATTCACCCCTGAAATTTCATAATGAACTATTCCAACCTTTGAAATGGACAAGTTCAAATGTGTCTTCAGGGGTGAATGATTTAACTTGACACTTCTTGTCAGACAAATCTGTATATTAGTGTTGTTCCTCTAAATTATGTTAAGTCTAGCCTGGCAGACTGATATTGTAAACAGTGTGTTTTTGGACTTGGATATTTGAGCCCTGTACTTGAGCTAAATTTCATGTGGGACTTACCAAATTTATGAGG